TGTCACTGTGGGCCTTTGGGTCTGGGCCTGTCTGGGTAAACGGACAAAAATGTCTCTCACAAGGGTGTGATTCACTGGTTGTCCCTTTGTGTCTTTATTTTGCCCGCGTGTGTGTGTGTGTGTGTGTGTGTGTGTGTGTAGCTTATGTCAAATGTGGGTATGTACTCTGTGCTTGTGCTTAGTCGCTTAGTCGTCTGACTCTCTTGACCCCATGGACTGTACCAGGCTCCTCTGTCCATGGGATTCTCCAGGCAAGAATACTGGAGTGGGTTGCCATTTCCTCCTCCCAGGGGATCTTCCCAACCCAGGGATCAAACCCATGTCTCTGGTGTCTCCTGCATTGGCAGGTGGATTCCTTCCCTCTGAGCCACCTGGGAAGCCCGAATATGTAACCTAAGCAGAAAGAAAGAAAGAAATCTGCTCAGTCATTCCTGACTCTTTGTGACCCCATGGACTGTAGCCCACCAGTCTCTTCTGTCCATGGGATTCTCCAGGCAAGAATAGTGGAGTGGGTTGCCATTTTCTTTTCCCGACCCAGGGATGGGACCCATGTTTCCTGCATCTCCTACATTGGTAGGCAGGTTCTTTACCACTACCACCACTTTGGGAGCCCATAAAGTGTCTGTGTGTGTGGAAGAGAGAGGCTGGAGGTATATAACTGTGCATCCATGTGTGTGGGCGTGGACTGACTCTCAACACGCTCTGAGAGGCTTACAGCCACTTTGGCATTCCTCCTTTGCTGCTCCAAGACCCCCCTGCAATGTTCCAAGGTGATCTGGGCCCTGCCTTGCAGAGGGAGGTGGCTTGGCTTGATTCTGTTTCTGTAGGAGCAGCCACTCCAGCTTTCCTCTGCTCCCACTGGTATCTCCTCTCCTGCTCTGGCCTACTCTTGTAGACTGCTCCCCACCCGCCCTCCAGCCTCATCAGAAGGGAGCTGGCAAAACATGTGGTAGAGAGCCAAAGAAAGGACAGTGCCAAGAGTCCCCAGAGGCATGGCAGGACCATGTCCATGAACCTCTGCATCCCACACTCCATCCCCTTCTGACCTGAGTCTCTCCCCGACCCATCTCCTCTCTAGTCATTGTGTCTCTGACTGGTTCCAGTGGGGAGCAGCAGCATCCTTCAAGGTGCCTCCAGGCTCCTCTCTAGTTTTCTTGGGGGTGTATTCAGTGCCTCCACATTGCCCTCAAAGCTGGGAGAAGTGGGGACTGCGGGGGCTGTTACAACCTATGACTACGTGGACTCTGATGGAGAGGGAGAGACTGGCTGGGAAGCTGCTGATGGGCTATTAGGAGAGAAGTGCCAGTTCAAGAGACAGATGTGGGAGATGGTTCTGCAGCCTGGCAGGGACAGGCAGCTCTTGGCACCGGCTGCCAGAGCGCTGATGCAGAGTCACTCTGTCTGCAGCAGCGCTCCTGCGTTATTGCCTAGGCTCTCTCCTCCTCGGCACCTGTGCTCAGGGCTGCAGAATGTGAATTTCCACCCTCACTGTGCTCTTTGGCTAGCGGGACTTAGGCAGGGTACCTGCAGGTGTGGACACTTTTAGGATGAGGAAAGTGATCAGAAAGCTCTGTGATGTCAGACAAAATGCTTAAGCTCTCTATTTCAGTTTCAGCTTTGGTTCAGTCGCTCAGTCATGTCTGACTCTTTGTGACCCCATGAACCACAGCACGCCAGGCCTCCCTGTCCATCACCAACTCCCGGAGTTTACTCAAACTCATGTCCATTGAGTCAGTGATGCCATCCAACCATCTCATCCTCTGTCGTCCCCTTCTCCTGCCCTCAATCTCTCCCAGCATCAGGGTCTTTTCCAATGAGTCAGCTCTTTGAATCAGGTGGCCAAAGTATTGGAGTTTCAGCTTCAACATCAGTCCTTCCAATGAACAGCCAGGACTGATCTCCTTTATGATGGACTGGTTAGATCTCCCTGCAGGGCTGTTTTCTAACCTGTAACTAGGGGATGGAAATAGGGTGATGGTGAGAATTAAGTGAGCTACTGTATAGAAGGTACCTGGCATATAGAAAGCACTCAATTGTTTGCTACTAGAAGACAAACCCAGAGGTCAATCTGCCTTGATTGACCCTGCCTTGAGGGGTAGGGGTGGGTAGGGAGACCTGTCTTCTGTGGTGTCAAGGCTTGGAAGAAGACAGGGGCAATGTCCTTTGCCCCCGGAAAGGATTCCCACAGTCCTGGCATTATTGCTACATTCAGGAGGCCTGTTGGACCCAGGCCAGGGCTACTGCCCTGTCAAGGCAGGTGAGGGCTTCACAAAAACATACCCTCCCAGGACAAGACCTACGTCTTCCCACTCTTCTCTCATCTTGGAAGTCTTTCCTTAAAGATCAGTAAAGCAGAGAGACCCTCTAGAATTCATCTCTGGTGATAAGTGCAGCAGACATGGGATCTAAAAATAGACCTTAATAAGATTTCAAGTACACACTTGCCATGACAATTCAGATCACGATTCTTTTTTCTTTCCTGGAGCAATGTGACCTGTGGTGAAACCCATCCCCACCCAGGAGGAAATGTCAGAGGCTTTCAGGTGTGGCACTGAATTCTGAATTTGGATAAGGCTCTGCTCTGGGGCCCAGCCTGGCCAGAAGGCCCTCCAGATGCCCCTTTCCATCCCCCACCCTAGGGGTGTACCTGGCTCTCCTGCCGGCACCCCCCCACTCCTAACTGGGCTCCCCGAACAACCTGAGCCCTGTGGCAGCATTTCCGCAACCAGAGGCCAGCAGGGAGAGGAGACGGTAGAAAGCTTGTTACATTTCACTGTCCCCGCAGCATGTGGCTCTCAGACGCGGTGTCCGGGGACCACAGAGACTGGTTTAACGGATCTGGGGCCAGCCTAGAGCGCACACAGGACAGTGAGGAGGCGTTGCGGACTGCGCAGGAGGAGGATCGAAATTTGGGCGCCCAGCAGCTCAGCGGGCCCGCTGGGACAAGCCAGCCAGGGCGTGCTCGGAGATGGCTATCTCCTCCTCAAAGCAAAGCAAGAAAAGATCAGCAGGGCGCTGGGATCCGTCTCAGGGCATCAGCCGTCTTCTGGGGCGTTCCAGACCGCGGTGTGTGGACAGGGAGGCTCGCGAGGCGGGGAGGGGAGAAGCAAGAAGGCGAGGAGGAAAGAGCATAGGAGTAGAGGAGAGGAGTAAATGGAAGGAGAAAGGAGAGAAAGAGAAAGGAAGGGACGGCGGAGCCAGGGGAGGGGCGAGGAGAGGGTGAGCCGCGCTACGAACTTCCCGCGGTGCATCTGGTGGGATCCTTGTCCCCGCCGGGGCGCCCGGAGAGGGGGTGTAGGAGCCGCGGCGGGGCTGCGAGGGGGAGAAGGAAGGAGCAGGGGAGAAAAGCAAAGGGGTGAGAGCTCGGCGCCACGGCCCGGGAGGTTTTGCCGGCGCCCTGGGGGGTGGGGTGGAGTGAGGTGGGGCGCAGACTGGTTCCCACCTGCGCCCCTAGCGCCTCGAGGCTCCGAGGCGCATCCCGCAGCCGCCCCGCCCCGCTCTGTGGGTTGCCTCCCACCTACTGTTTTCTCCTGGCTTTCAATTCAATGGAGGAATGTTTTCACCATTTCCTTCCTGAGGCTGAAGTTGAGGCCCACTGTCTCCGTTGGCATGAAATATTATTGTTGTACTCTCACCTTTGTCTCTGGTTTGTGATTTGAGGATGGAAAAGGTGCATTCTCTCATAATTAATTTAGGTGGCTGTCAGTGTGGTCACAGCGGGCCCCAGGCAAAGAGCGGAGCCTGAGAAATTGAGGTGATGGGAAGGAGATAGTAACCGTGGCCCGATGGAGCCCCAATGTGAGCCTTACTTAACCTACTGGAGCCCGCAGACGCTGCCTCTGTCTCTCACCAGCACCCACTGCGCAGGAACAGTAACTAACTACTAAGCATTGGCTATATCGCCTCATTTAACCCCAGAGTCACCCCGCACGTTCGCTTTTACAGTCCTTTTTTATAGGTCAATAAACATAAGAGAGATCAACCCTGAATATTCACTGGAAGGACTGATGCTGAAGCTGAAGCTCTAGTATTTTGGTTATCTGATGTGAACAGAGGACTCACTGGAAAAGTCCCTAATGCTGGGAAAGACTGAGGGCAGAAGAAGAAGATGGCATCAGAGGATGAGATGGCTGGACGGCATTACCGATGCAGTGAACATAAACTTGGGCAAACTCTGGGAGATGGTGAGGGACAGGGAGGCCTGGGGTACTGCAGACCATGGGGTTGCAAACAGTCAGACATGACTGGGTGACTGACAAACTACAGGTTACAATTTGAAGAGGTTAAGTAATCTACTTGCTTCCAGCAACAGGAAAAGCTCAGATCTGAACTCTGATCTCTCCGGTACATAAGACAGCCCCTCCTGATGCCTGTCTTTGGAATCCCAAGATTCCCAATTTCCTCCATTCCCCCCCTCCTTATCTCATCCACAGAGGTTCCAGGCCTGAAGTGTCCCCTTCTCCTCCCTCCCCCAAATTTGCCTTTTAAATAGAAACTAAATCTCAGGTTGGGGCTTCCCTGGTGGCTCAGTAGTAAAGAATCTGCCTGCCCGGTGATCCCGCATTCAATCTCTGGGTGGGGAAGATCCCCTGGAGGAGGGCATGGCAACCCATTCCAGTATTCTTGCCTGGAGAATCGCTATGGACAGAGGAGCCTGGCAGACTACAGTCCATGGGCTCAAAAAGAGTCAGACATGGCTTAGCAACCAAACAACAGCAAAGGCTCAGGTTAAAGGACCAGGTCTTAAGGAAACTGATATAAGTGACACAGGAAGGAAGAGCAGTACTTTGGGCACCACAAGCCCCACAGGCGATCCCCCTCGCCCCGGTGCTCAAGGCTTATAGAGCAGCCAGGCCCGGTCCATCTCGAGGCCCTGCTTTAGGAGGTGGATCTGGAAACGAGGAGTGGCTGAACCTTAGCTGAGAAGCTACTGTGTGCCTGACATGTCCTGACATGTTCTGCCACACCCTTCACAAATGTTACCCCGTTATCTCTCACAGCTACCCACGAGGGAGGGGCTTGCCACTCTCCACATCTCACACAGAAGGAAACCAGGATCTTCTCAGAGGTGGAAGAACTTGCCCAAGGAAATTGTGCTGGTAAGTGCCCGATTTGGAAATGAAACTCATTTGTTCAATCTTTCATTCGTTCATTAAGTGTATTTTTATTCTTTATTGTTTTTGCTGTGTGCAGGGATATGGAAATGAGACATAATCCTTCTTTCGCTTTTGCTCCTAAGCAGGTGAATGTGCTCAGTTGCCTTAGTCCTGTTCAACGCTTTGTGATCCCATGGACTGCATCCCGCCAGGCTCCTCTGTCCATGGGATTGTCCAGGCGAGAATACTGGAGAGGGTTGCCATGCCCTTGTCCGGGGATCTTCCTGACCAAGGGATCCAACTCAGGTCTCCTGCATTGCAGATGGATTCTTTACCCACTGAGCCACTTGCGAGCCCAGGTGAATCATTTCAGTTCAGTTCAGTTGCTCAGTTGTGTCCGACTCTTTGCAACCCCATGGACTGCAGCACACCAGGCTTTCCTGTCTATCACCAACTCCCAGAGTTGTTCAAATTCATATCCATCAAGTCGGTGATGCCATCCAACCATCTCATCCTCTGTTGTCCCCTTCTCCTCCTGCTTTCAGTCTTTCCCAGTGTCAGGGTATTTTCCAATAAGTCAATTCTTCACATCAGGTGGCCCAAGTATTGGAGCTTCAGCTTCAGCTTCAGCATCAGTCCTTCCAATGAATATTCAGGACTGATTTCCTTTAGGAAGGACTGGTTGGATCCCCTTGCAGTCAAAGGGACTCTCAAGAGTCTTCTCCAACACCACAGTTTAAAAGCATCAATTCTTTGGTGCTCAGCTTTCTTTATAGTCCAACTCTCACGTCCACACATGACTACTGGAAAAGCCATAGCTTTAATGTCTCTGCTTTTTAATGTGCTGTCTAGGTTGGTCATAGCTTTTCTTTCAAGGAGCAAGCGTCTTTTAATTTCATGGCTGCAATCACCATCTGCTGTGATTATGGAGCCCAAGAAAAGAAAGTCTGTCACTGTTTCCATTGTTTCCCCATCTATTTGCCATGAAGTGATGAGACCAGATGCCATGCTCTTAATTTTCTGAATGTTGAGTTTTAAGCCAACTTTTTCACTCTCCTCTTTCACTTTCATGAAGAGGCTCTTTAGTTCTTCTTTGCTTTCTGCCATAAGGGTGGTGTCATCTGCATATCTGAGGTTATTGATATTTCTCCCGGCAATCTTGATTCCAGCTTGTGCTTCATCCAGCCC